TTCACGGGTTGTGAAAATCACTCTGTTGTAATTCTTAACTATTCAGAATTTCACGGTAAAATGAAACGAATGAAAAGGTGAGAGTAGATTCCAAAATGAAACGAGAAAGTCGTCTGAGTCGATTTTTTTTTCGTAATCAAAATAACATACATATATTTTGTATTAATTTAATGTGAATAACAAAAAAACTACTACCATCTTTTTAGAATAGAGTGGAGTACAAAACTCAGCAAATACGTTAACGACGTCCTGCTAGACTTTTGACTTAACGTGACAAGGAACTTYCTAAATGCTCTTGATTTAACAGCGCTGCTGGGGTCAAAGCATATGCTGTACTTTGTAAATTATGACTTAGAATTATTTTTAGTTAAAAAAGCCACACAGGGTTTGACTTAAAGATTTGTTCGCTACTAAGTAAAACTAACATTTCAAAGGAAATAYTTGGATGTATAACTTATAGCTGGACTGATTCTACATGAACGTAATGGCTATGGTTTGTTGTCTGTGTGTCTTAAAGCAAACTATARAAAAAACACTATATTTTGTGCTTGATTTATTAAGATTTGCTTATTTAAAAACAATACATGATTTTTTTCAGTAGTTTTGAGATTATTTTATTATTTTATTCGTTATTTTATTAGTTACCTTGGCCGAGAATTATGGATTGTAGGGATGTAAATTTTGTAAAAATTTCATTACTTCATGCATGCATTATACTTGCCTTATTCAATAAASAATTTAAGAGTTCTTTAAATAATTTTGAGATTTTCCTCAAAGTGTTCAGTGTGCACTTGTCAGACTTTATCGTTCGTGATATGCATTGACAGTTCTTTTTTAGTGAGAAAATAAGTCCTAGAAATAACAAATCTTGTTCACTTGAAGCGTTATCACTGTCAAGGCTCCTCTWCTGCAGATATCACTTGTAAGTTTTGCATTAATTATTTAAAAACCATCTCTATAGAATATCTCGACTTGATGCAAGATCCACSTACTGCAGGAGTTTCGAGGATATATTTTCATGTTATTATAAAGTACAGCTTGAGTTTTCTGTGAAGATACTTGACAATCAGTTATAGTTCTTTTGTTGATTATTATATCTGTKTTTAGCAAAGTGTTGTTTTGCTTTATAATCCCAATCCTCCTTCATGRTAGCCGCATTTCGGATATTTGTTGACCCCCTAAAGAGAGTATGTTTAGAAAACATCGGTGTCGAAAGTTTAATTGAGAGACCTCATCGTTTCGTCTTTGATTCCAAGGAMTTGTACACTCGTAAAATCAACGAAGTGTTCGGCGTTTTATCGTAACCTCAATAGTTCATAAGCGGCTTGCCTGAACTCTGCTCGYTAGAACGAATAAATGAATGGATTCACTGAGCTTTGGAAAAGAAGAAAAAACAAAGAAATCTTGACATAAGTAAGAGACGCCAACTGTGGTACCCTAGCAAGGAAGAAGAGGTTGTAAACAATTCTTGGYAGCCAACAAATAAAGAAGACAACTACAACGAGGACGCACGACATGGTTCCCTTTCGTTTTCTTATTCTTTCCCTTCTCTCTGATTCAGAGGTTTCACTATGGCTCCTACTTGCTTCCYCTGGTGCTACTCGATTATTGTGCTTCTGTATGGCGGTCATMATCATAATATTTACTATAAAAACGGCAAAAATTGGTATCAGTACGAACACAAAGATCAAAAAAATGTTAAACGAGCGGTCCATGRTGGCCTTTTTTTGGGACGAYATTTTGTCACTGAATGTCCATGTCATGCGAATAAGACCTGTAGCTACTGGCAGAACCCATACRATTYAGAGAATGAACACTACCCTGCGTCTTGTCATCTTGGCAGCATAAACCAGCGGTCTAAACACAGCAAGGTGCCTATCGTAAGTGATGGCTACTAGATTCAAGACCACTCCCTCAAAGGGGATATCTCTTAACATGCCAAACCATTTGCAATACTGAGAAAGAGTGTACGTGCAGGCTGTTCCTTCACAAAAAGCACCAAACCACGGCACTACAAAGAGCGCCATTAACGTGTCCGCGCAGGCTAAGCTTAGTAGAAACACATTCATGAAATTTTGACGAAGACTTCGCTTGGAAAGGAAAACAAGACATGTAAATACATTCCCGGTCAGAATAACGACACCAATCGCTCCATCCAGAACCCAGAACACTAAGTCAAGAGTTGGGTTACAAGGAGGCGAAGGAACTTGAGGGCGCATTGTAGGGTTCATAGTTAGATTTGCAGCCATTCTTCTCTTGTATTTGTATAGTTTGTTGATCACAGACTTCAGTAGCAAGTCYGCAAAAAAATCCTCACTWCWGRCCAGGATTTCCAATTAGAATGTTACTATTTCAGGTTAAGTAGTATGGTATTTGCCAAACCATCCAAATGAGAACCTCTTCTCTTTAGCCTGAACAAATGAATGAGAAAATCCCTTACAAGGGATGTCTATTTAAATGATACCAAGTGGTCACCATGGAGACGTCAGCACGTGATACCATCTAGTTACCAAGGAGACGTKACGTYACATAACAGTCAATATTTTGATTGTTTGTTGTCAGAGTCTTTCTTTGAGGTAGAGTACACAAAAAGATGAGACCATAAAGCGTGTCGATTTTCGTTTCTCTTTTAAAGTAAACTTTGCAGGGTTTTTCCGGCTCTAAGGTGTTGAGAGCTTCCCTAAGTGGAAGAATAAAAGAGATTTAGGCCATTTTTACTTTCCATATAATATACTCAAAAATAAGTGAAATGTTTTATCTCAATGCAACCTGTTTTATGAAACGTCAAAACCTTTCATAAATAACTTGACTTTTTGACTAAAATCGATTGGTCAGCCATGGCAGAGTATATCATGGATGCCATCTGCTCCGGGTCCTTTAGATCCGGCACGAATTCGTGTAAATTTGACCAACTATTTTTGTCAATTCGCAGCTCCATAGCGTCYCTTTGTCTGATCCTTAAATAAATGTCAAACAAAATTCTAGTACAGAATAGATCTCATAAAGTTACTTCTTCTATAACATTWTATACGACAAGGGGTTATTAATGTTGCACGGTTATGATAATGTACAATTTTTTAAGAAATAGTTTTCTACCATTAGTGATTCCATTTTGCGGTACTTTTTGACTTTTACAATTCGGTAGATGTCGGTAGTCTCTTCTTATAGAAGTCATAGAAGAAAACATTTTAATTGCAATAATTTTCAACACAWGAACTCTTTTTCCGAAAATGTTATCAACAGTTAAGCCTGCTGCACGAACTAGACAATARTGATTTAAGTTTTATTAAGTAAAATTAGTAAAATAATAACGTCTAATTTCGTGGCTCTCTTTTTCATTTAAGAAACAAACATGGGATTTCTAAAAAGCGAATAGTGTGTGAATAGTTGTCTGCCATGTTTGAATCACTATTTTCGTCTTCGTTCTTTGTTGAAGTGTTTGATATTCTGAGTCAATTCAGACTGCACTTTTTTAATTACCATACCAATTAAAATACGATTTCTCATTCTTATGAAATATATTTGAAGAGTTATTTAATTCCTGTTGATCACTTGTTCAAATAGAAGTTCGTTTTCTCATTTAAATGAGACCAAACTGTTGATATGCACAATAAAAGATATAAAATCTACTGGACACCCTAAATTGACACGCACTGCAGTTTACTACAGCATTTACAAGACCATTTGTCATTAATAATTAAATGTATGTTGTTAAATATATCGTTTTAGTGCAAGTTAAATCAATCCCAGTATCAAAGTCATGCCATCACTGCGAACAAATGTTCTGACTCGAGTTTTCAGTGAATGTGATCAAGCGTTCTTTGAGTGCGCGGGTTCTTTTCAAGCAAAGTGTTGTGCATTATTGAAATTGTTTTTTCTTTGTTTCCTCCGGGTAAGGGCCATAGCTAATATTACAGCTGACCTAATTAGATCGACTACTATTGTAGGTTCGATCAAACATGGTCAAACATCAGAAGATGATCGAATGAAACGTTCTATTGATGAAACGTTCTATTGATGAAACGTTCTATTGATGGAAGAAGATTACTAACTCACGTCGTGTGATTTAATAACTAAAATCATTACCTCGATCCCCATGCAACGTTCTAGCTTTGCGAATTGAAATTCGGTGATCAAACGTTCTATCGTATGACATGTGATTGATCAAACGTTCTTTTATCAGATAGCCAACTATAGCGATTTGTGATAAGACTCAATCACATAGATTGATGATAAACGTTTATTAATCGTTTTTTTCATGTTGATGACAAACTTGATAACAAAGGTTTTTCTTTTTCATCATGCAATTACCTATAAAGCTCTGCAGCACACAATTTTGAATAAAATAAAGAAAACAATATTTTAGCCAATTAACAAAAGTAATAAATCAGTGGTGGGCGTGGCTTGGAATGAACTCGTATACGATCTTAATCATTTAAATCGATATCATTATTTCAAAAGTCTAGTTTTAAAAACATTCTTTTATATAGTTGTAATATATATTATCCTTATAATTATTATCCTAATCGTAAAACCTTGTTGAAACAAAATCTGTGGAACAAACTGTGAATGAGACTAGTCWTAAAAGTGTACGGCCACTGTGAAAGCGACAAGTGCTATAGTGATTATGATGTCATCATTGTTCTATACGAATACAACGATTTCAGATTAAAGCTTATGTTCTTAAAAAATGTCCCAATGCCGATATGTATATTGTCGCTCGTCGAGGCGCCACTCTAAAAGGGGTTTCACTGTTGCTTAATATCCGTACCATCTTCGATTGACTGCAAGTGTAGAATTACCCWGAATCCAAATCCAAAATACCTATATTTCTCAATTACTAAAAGTTAATATTTTCACTAACACTCGAGGTTTCTCCATATAGTGGAAGTAAGAAAAAAAGGTATTTTACGACATAATTTGCTTTCACATTGATAATTATATGATAAATAGAATATTACATTGTCGCTTTGGAGATACGAATTTTATCTTCTCGCTCGTGTTGAGATCTTTTCAACACTTGATAAAATCCGTATCTCCAAGCGACCAGGCAATATCCTCTATATCTTTGACAAGATTTACTCACAAATACTTCACTAACCCTTAGGTAATTCTGTTATCTACATATGTAGTATCAATTAATCACGATTTGCCGATGCTAAGATCCAAACTCATCACTATGTTTATGATAGAGTCTGTATCGTCCAGGCCCAGTAAAGAACGAATCAGCCTTATAACTGTGATATAGAAGAATTGTAAATGTTGTATTCATACTATATATATATAAACTATACTATACTATATATTGTACCTGTTTTCTGGGATTACGGTGAGAGCCTATATATAGTCAGTAGTTGAYTATTGAGCCAATGTTAATAATTTCCTTGGGGGACAATATAATATCGTTGTTTGGAGTGTAGGAGTTATTTAATAACCAAAGCTTTGTAATTTGTTCAAGCAAATCATAATACACAGGTTGGGAACCAATAAAAATGTGAGGTTTTTAATAATATTGCAATCAAACTTTTATTTGATTCTTTGCGTGTTTATATTTTTCCCTATTATTGTTATTATCTTGGATTATTTTCCAGCAATTCCATATTCATTTCATTATTTATGTATTTAAGTTATCTTTTTCTTCGGTATTGTGGAATTTTCTAATAAATCCACCATATCAGTTAATATTTTACCTTTTTGATTAATATAGACAAGCACTTGATTAGCTATTATCAAGATAGTGTCTTTAAGAAAACATCATTAATATGAAGAGACGCCGCACAATTTACATTATTTTGAAGAACACTTTCTTTCTTTCTCCCGTTCTCTCTTTCTTTCTTTTATTCTCCCAGTAGYATTTTGGGATGGCGGGATATTGTGCACTTGGTATACATAAAGAACACTTTACTGGCTTCCGCAATTAAGCATCATTTAACTGATATTCTCATGGTTCCCTCGWTGATAATAAGTTGTTGATTGATTTATTTTGTTTTGACCGATATTGTTGAAGAGCCAGATGAAATATGATGAAAATATATGTATGAATATATATTCTGTCCTCGTCAATTAAGAAACAATGACTTGATGGTTTCCTTGTTAGATGGCTATATAGGTTTATCATTACAGTCTCGCGAAAAGGAAAAGAATAAGTGAGCGGCCAGTGATTAACTGAAACTAGATATCGACACTTTGCAGGCTTCCCAGTTATATCTGGCATTTTACTGGCTTCTTTTGAAAATAGGTTTCCTTTATTACTTTACGTTCAAAACAGAACATGTTAAAATCAAATAACTAACTGATGAAAGAAATAATGAATTGCTGCGCATACTAAGAACAATAAGTGTCAATAAACCCAGACAAGAAAGATATCCATAAACCTTATCACATAAGGATCAAGGAATCGATATATATTATATCATATAATAATCCAGTTTCGAATTCTCCAGTGCTCTGTGTTAGCCTCATTTGTGCGCAAWATATTCCTAACTGTGAGAATAAAAGTGTGAGATTTCATATCAATTCTATTGATTTCTTTTCAAATTCCATGCGTTTTCACAGGCTATCAATGAAAAAAAAGAATATGTTACTTGYTTTTGAGGCTAACACAGAGCAAACCAGAACTCGAAATTGTCCTTTCTTYTAACTTTTTCTAGACAGAATTCCCCGCGAGCACAAATAACGTTTGCAAAAGAGGCTAAAGGGACGAAGTAGTTTAGTTTATCCTTATCGATAACAAAAGGCGAGTTCAGCTAGTCGTCTATTGGATGAATAGAAGCGGGAGAGCGATCAATCATTTGCCATTGTTAGTTAGGAGTGGCAAACGGACCAAATTGTAGAGGAGGCACCTCTCTCGAGCAAGGGACAGGAATACTTTCGCCCTCATAATTACAAGGCCAATTGTTTGACAACAGGAAGGACAACAGTTTGCTTCATTGATGGAAGTATACTCTCTCCCGGGGTTAGCAAGATAGCAAGTAATGCACCAAGGAGACGAGGGGGGGGGGGATTATTTACAGACTGTCGCCCATCTCCTTTAGCGCCGCCAGAAGAACTGTTTATCCTAAAAGTTGTTAATCTTAGTTTCCTTATAAATTTATCTCCTGTGTCATTATGACCCTAACAATAAAGAATCAGTTAAAAAAAGAAAAAGAAAAAGCGCGAGATAAAAATCAAATGTGGTCATGTTCCTCTCATTTCCATGGCAACATGTCGGGATACCTATAGCCACAAGCGATTGAACGTCGACCAACAACGGTGAAGTTTGTCATGTCAATTGATGTTCAAAATATGCAGTGACCATCAAATAAATAGTTGAAGAAGCAACAGCTTGGGTTTCATTCGGTTTGCAACGTGTTTTGAGGGGATAATATTTCATCGGAGCTGCGTCGTTTTTTCATCGGAGCTGCGTCGTTTTTTCATCGGAACTGCGTCGGTGTAATCACCATAAAAGGATAAAAATGTTAGTGACATTTGCGAAAGTTTGCCGTTCGTAATTATGATTTTTTTATTTAAATGCTAGTGCGGTATGGTTTACATTTATTCTTTTAATAAAACTATGAATATTAATTAGTTTTCCTAAAACAACTGCTTGCTTGAATATTGGTCTTCTTGAAAACACAGCAAACCAACAAAACCGAATACTACGACTTTGAAAGAGGTGCATACAGCTGTGGTGAATAAAATCGTTTTTAGATTGAATTACAATTAACACTAACATGAATCTTGCAGTGCCTTTACATTGGAGGCCACTGTGTCGCTTTATAAAATACTTTCAAACCACGTTTGGTAAATTCGTTAATAGAATAAAGCCACAAAACATCAGTAATTTGAAAATTTGCTCGCCACAATTGATTTCTTCTAAACAATACATGAAATACTTATGCAAATATCCCTGACACTTTTCATCAAGTATTTAGGGTAAAGAAGGCAGTTTGTTCCATCAGGTCAACATTGCACAGTCTTCAAGGCTTCACGATGCGGATMTTACTYCTAGTGKTGACTTTATCCGTGATGTTTTCTCTTGCACAGAGTAYCAAGGCWAAAACAACAATCCTGATATCTTTGGATGGCGTTGGATGGCAATTTCTAGGGAACAACAAAACTGACACYCCTAATTTTGACTTTATGGCTCGTACGGGAGTTAAAGCAAAGAACATGATAACAGTSAACCCTACTCATACTCTACCAGCTCACGTGACCTATGTCACTGGTCTCTATCCAGAAAGTCACGGGCTTGTAGCAAATAGCTTTCATGACCCTGATCTTGATGCAGAACACTACCTACAGCCGGACTGCTCCGCTTTTGATCCGATCTTCTTTCAGGAGTCGGAGCCGATTTGGTCAACGATGGAGAAAAGGGGGCTTAAAAGTGGGGTGTACTTTTGGCCTACAAGCACGAGTTACCCTCAAAGACCATCATTTTATGCAGATCATGATTGTAAAATTAACTGCTCTGCATATACACCACAACAGTTGAGYTCTTTGCGAAAAACAAAAACCGATCATTGTAAATTCGATGATYTGAAACATCCGTTTTGGCAACGAGTTGAAACWGCCGTTAGTTGGATGAAGTCCGAGAACTCACCCCCTCTGATATTACTGTACTTTGACTATGCCGATGGAAAAGGACACCGCAATGGCCCACATTCAGTCCAGTARCTGAAATCTATTGAGTARCTTGATCGTTATGTRATTGGATACCTTATGGACAGGCTCAGAGATTCAAACTTGCTCAACAGTACGAATATCATCGTTGTCTCAGATCACAGTATGGCTGAGACCAGCTCTGAAAGAGTCATCGATTTATCAGAAGTAATCGAGCCTTACATGTATGACATCAAATCGCCAGGAATATGGCCATTGGGAGACAATTCTGTGGATGATGTTTTAAACAAGTTAAAAAAACTAAACAGCTCGCATATCAAATTCTACAAAAAAGAAAACATTCCGGAGAGACTTCATTGGAAAKACAATAGGCGCATCCCACCAATTTATGTAGAATATGAGCTTAAATGGAAATTCTCCAAGACTAGTAACAGTAGGACAAAGTCATGGATTGCAGGATCTCATGGCTGGGAACCATCACAAGACATGGCGGCCATTTTCTATGCCATGGGACCCGACTTCAAGGAAGGCTTTTACAATGATYATTCACTACGTGCAGTCGATATTTATCCATTATTATGCCACCTTGTTGGAATGGAACCACTACCTAACAATGGCTCTCTCAACAACATGCTGAACCTCTTGAAAGAYGACGATYAGTCTAKACCAACTGAACCAAGCGKAATGCCGAGAACCACAGCTCACACAAACATCGCGAAAACTACAGGAAASAGAATGACAGGCCATGGGGCAACTATTAACAATAAACGGTGGTTTGATCATGTCGCATTTGCTATTACATTTATATTATTTGTATTTAACTAAGAAGTTCTGCCAGATTTTGGCATTATTATTATTCAGTCATATATTTTTGTTATTGCTGTAGCCATCTTACAATGCTGTAACAATATTGTGGTGAACCATATTTTGGGGACTATATATCAGGGGTGTTAGAGTAATATCCTAGAATTGTAGCCATATTAGAGTGTGTCAAATCATACACTTCAGACAGCCTTTTTTGAGTTATTAAATAACAATTATATAACTATGCAACTAGCTATACGATGACAATTAAAGATATCTACTTGATGAAAATTGAACATGTTTTAAAAAAGCTTCGCTTTTCACTTCCATAAGCGCTCTTCTCGGTACAAGAGAGAAAAAAGCACTCGCCACTTCTCTTCCGTCGAATTTTGCAACGAGACAAAAGACAAAATAAAATAAAATAAAATAATAAAAGAATGATAATAAAATATAAAAAAAGAGAAAAAAAATAGAGACTAAGTAACTATGTCAGAACCCATGTGACGAAAAKTTTATTACGTCAATACAGGTCCTAAAACGGCCAGAGCTCATTCATGGTCCCGGTTAGAGATTGAGATTTAGTCTCCTCCGTGCCATCCCATAACTGATCCTGACGCTAACAAGAGATAGTACGCATAGATAATCGGTCCCTAGACCATGGATAATTCACCCCTTGCGCTATACTACACCGAACTATCAAAGATGTCGGCAAATTAGAGAACTCATTTATGTAAATGAGTGTGTAACGCGCTGAGTTTGAAAGCAACGTTGGAGTGTATGGAGATGGGGAGGGGGCGAGGGCTTGAATCTGTTTATAAAACGGCAAAAACAATGGTCAAATAAACGTGACAAGATTAAAACACAGGAAACCCAAACAAAATATGCAAGGAACCTCAAGGAACCATGGGATATATGTAAGAGGAGGGACTGGCACTAGTAACAGCAAAACATGGAAAAAGCGCTCGAACTTTGAAAATGTTCAATCTCTTTGMCCAAAAATGACTTGATTTACAAATAATCGATTGAATACTAAAGGAAAAGGATGTCTCGAAGTAATTCCAACTCAAGGAGCTACCGCTCTGGTCGTTCACGTGGAGAAKATAGTATTTTATCAAGCGATAACGATACAGARTTGAACAACACTTCTTTGGATGTGGATTCTTCTTCGACCTTTCTTATGTCATCTGCTTTGTCAACGACAAACGTTGAAAGTGACTCAGAAAATCGAGTTACAAAAGCTATGATAGAAAAGAAACAACTTCTGCATGATATAGAATTACTACGAATTGAATTAAGTCAAAAAAACCTGATGATTGATAATTTGAAAGTTGAGCATATGAACAYGGTTGATGAGCTCGAAGAAAAAGTCTCTGAAAATCGACACGGGAAGCTGATTTTGCAAGCAAGACTTGAATCACAGCTTAAACTACAGCAAGAAGAATCTCAATCAAGGCTAGATAGGATGAGACAAGAATTGAATAGTATCATGAACAGACAACAACAACTTGAGGAGGAAAATGAACGGTAAACATTGAAATGTGTTTTGCATTTGTACATAGTTAATAGTTAAGTATTAACTATGATTTGTATGACATCCATATTATGGATCTTTCGCTTGGTTCAGAGAGTTTATAAACCAGCCATCCCAAACCCTGTACCTACAAGCAAGATCAGGTTTTAAAGATTAGGGGCGTGTGCACGGTTTCATGAGGTTGCTCTGCAAAATCTGATTGACTGCACAAGTGCAACTGTATCGCTTTGGATTGACACCAAACAAACTGACAATCCTAAAATGTGTTACCCTATAGATTTTGGAAATATAGTATTATTTCAAAGACATGTTTTTTGCCAAGGAAGTGCTGGGAGTTTCATGCATCCCTGGAACTACCCCCTGCACATGCCCCTTGGGGATGGTTGCATCTTTTTAACAAATTGCACATTGTAAACATTTTATGACGTTAAGACTGTGTCAATAAGAGGACATACAATAAAAAAAACATGCATAATTTGTTTTTTACCACATTTTTAGTCTAAAAATTAGAGAAAATCAACCCTTTTCTTTCATCTGAGGACGAGCGGGACGTAATGGTATCAGCACAGTGTGCATGTCCTCTTATTGACACACTCTTATCAGCCAATCATCGCGCGAGATTTTACACAAGTGTGTTAAAATTAGTTTTGTTTGTTCATTCATTAATGTTAGATTACAAGGCAGAGCTGGGGACTTGAGACAAGATTTAGTTGATGTTCAGATTTTAACTGAAGAACAATACTTAGAACTCAAGACTGCAAATCCTGACCAAATGAGCTTAAAAGACTTTGTATCAGTAAGTAATTATTATTAATAATTCATAATTCATAAGATAAACTATGGAAAATCATTGTCGTGACAGAATCTGTACACAATTCACTATTCAAACTATTACAGATTTACATGCTATCATGCAACTTTTTTGAAAACATTGAACACAGTTAATATCATTGCTTAATTAAGCAGTATTGTACATTGTGGCTGCTGATTGTTAGATTTTGAGGAGTATATGTACATAATAAATATGTCTGTATGTTTTTAGAATTAAAAATGTGCAATATTAAAGCTTTCTGTGTGGTGGAATGCAGCAACAATATTGCACATGTATTCAGAAACTAAGTCAGTTTCTATGGCAACAAATGTTYCCATCCWYTTGTTAGMTTGTTTATTACAAGTCATGGTTTATTGTTACAGGTCAAGATCTATSAGGCAGCCCATCCATACAAGGTTGAAGTAGAAAGTCTTCTTCAGCAAGTTGACTTGTTGACAAGGCAGCTTTTAAGTAAAGAAGAAGATGCAGCTTTGTACCAAAAGGTATGACACTTGTCAAGCAGTACCCGTCATAACAATGTTTGTGATGTTATTTTGTTAAACTTTGATGTTCTGTCACTGATGAATATAAAGTACTTTATACAGTTTTTAGTGTTAAAGATGGCTAATTGCAAAGGCAAAAATTAGCTCATATACAACCCTCTCTAAAACTGGAGTTTTAAAACGATKTAAAGCAAAAACTGCAAGAGCTTATATTTCTAAAGCTTATTGTAGCAGGTTTTGTCAATGGTTGGTACCGATTTGGCTTTAGTTAGGTTCAAACATGAAATGCTTATGCTAATGATATGCTAATGAACCAAAAATAAATTATTCGACCCTGGGGGTACTCCTGGGGGTGTTACCCTATATATTTACTACACTGGGATGTTGGGTATATAGGGTATGGTTTTTAACCTTTGCATCTTGAATAGAGTATACATGTACTTGATAGTCTCCTTCACAGTTAACTGCACCATCTTGAAAGGTAGCCGTGCCTTTGCATCAAAGCAAGACGACCATTGAGCGTGCAATGATAGAAACCTTCTTTCGCACCTACAGACAAATATTCACAGGTTTCTATCATTGCACATGTATGTCAGTATACCATCATACGGTAGAGGGTTTTGAAAACCATAAGCATAAATTAGGTTTGTACGATAATTTACAATCGAGTCTAACAAGTTTTTGACTGGAAGCAGCCTTCCAGCAATGTGAATGATTCTTCTCAAAGAAATTTCTAGAATGTTGAACTTTACTTATTAATCTAACATTACTGTACAAGAATAGATATGAATATGAGGACCACATGGCACTATGAGATAAATGATATAGAAATAAAGAAAGTTATAGCTTGTTCCGGGAAAAAGACTCTTCGAGAATAAATTCGAAAAAAAATAATTTCCGACCTCGCTTGGATTCGAACCCATGACCCTAAAATTGTAGTTACCAACGCTCTACCAGCTGAGCTTTCTTTCTTTCTTTTTTACATCTGGCTTATTAATTCTAACATTTATATATCATGTATAGACCCCTAGATAACAATAAAGCTTCCCTCCTATCACGTTTTTATTTTTATTTTCCTATCATTCGATAGTTGCATTTTACTCAAACATAGAAGTGCACATTTTTTCTGGAAAGTTTCTAAAACTTGCTCAGAAAACGAATACATGTGGATTKAAACGTCTTTTATCATAAAAATATAAAGTATCAAAATTATGGATTTTGTAGCAAGCAGAAGAAGAGAGATTTTCACGCTCTGAGTTGGAGTACAGAGCACAGAGGCTGGCTTTACAAGTTGAAGATCTAAAGTCCAAGCTACAACAYGGAGACTACAAGAAATCAAATTTTGACAATGTTAGAGGGTGAGAACTTACTACTTCCTTTGTGGAACCATGACAAACCTTCTCATAAACACTTTTTGTGTTTTCTACTTTGAAATTGTTCTGTATGTCTCAAAACCTTGGAGAGTTTTAATTTAGAGAGTTTTTATTAAAATGTATATGCAGTAGATGCATACATTGTAGCTCAACTTTTTTGACTCTCTTACTTTTCTTTGATAAAAGTGAGAGAGATTCTTTGGACAGAGAGGTTATGGAGTTGAAAAAGTCCAATACAGTGCTAGAAGCTAGTCTCAAGGCTAAGGTGGATGAGCTGCAAGAGTATCAGAAAGAGGTAACTAAGTTTTTGGGATTTATTCAGTCATTTATCTGTCCATCCATTTTTCTTTCATTCTTCCATTTATTCATCCATTTATTCATTTACCCATCTTATTTCAGATGCAGACTACAAAACAGTCACTTGCCCTTCTGAAACAAGACAAAGAGTATCTGAACAAACAAGTCCAGGAGCTGAGTACCCGAAGTAGCTTGGCTGAAGAACATTTACAGCAAGTAACCAAGCAGCTGAATACTACCAAACAGGCCAGGGAAGAGCTGTATGAAAAGTATATCAGCACCAGGTATACATGTACAAAAATTATAGGGCGAAATTTCTTACTGGAAAAGACTTGCTGGAAATAAGCAAAATTTCTTACTGGAAAAGACTTACTGGAAATAATTACCATGTTTCAGAGAGCAATACAAATCTGAATATGAAATGAAACTAAAAGAAGAACTGGACAACATTGGGCTCAAAACAAACTCAGAATTGGATAAAATCAGGAATGATACAAAAGATATGTATGAACGAGAGAACAAGAGTCTCAGAGAAGCTAGAGACAATGCTCTACATGAGAAGGAACGGGCAAGAAACGCAGAGAAAGAAGTCACATCAAAATATGACCAGCTATTATCAGAGTAAGCCTAAATAGCGCAAAATCAGCAATGTCAACCTTTAACCTTATTTTAACCTTATATGTAACCTTATGTAAAGGAAACGTCTAGCTGGAAGCATGCCTATATGTAAGTGTTATGTAATATATAGCACTTTGACTCACAATTCAGCCTGATGCTGCCATGAAGGACGATTAGCACCCACCACCTTTTCTCTCCCTTTGTTGTATTTAAGTTGAGATATAATTTTTACTTTATTGTCTTAATTGCATGTTGTAGGTTCCGTCAGCTGCAGGTTAGCTCTGACAGTAAGCATTCTGAGTTACAGAATGAACTGAAACTCAAGCAGTTTGAGATAGACAGATTACAGATTCTCTATGATGAGACATCACAGAGTTTTAAGCAACTAAAACTGGATTATGAGAAATGCAGCAAAAAGAATGAGGTTAGTATTTCATGTTTTTCCTTCTATTCGACTTCTTTTTTAATTTTCTTATTTTTCTAATTCCTCACCCTTCCGTCCCTCCCCTAATCTCATTCATCCTTCCTCCCTTTTCTCCATTTTRCCTTCAATCCTTCCATCCTAATTCCTTCATTTTTTGTCATCCTTCCTATCATCTCCTTTTCACCACCCTTCCTTCCTTCCATTCTTCATCCTTTTCCTTCCATCCCTCCGTTTCTTCTTCCTATTATTCCTCTCAGCACTCATATTAGCRGTCTTGACATTTGTCTGTATTACACTCAATGATATGTGGTTAAATATTTTAAAGGTTCTGATTCAGGAGTTTTATTCCTTGCAACACAAGACTGACAAGCACATTTCATCCCTTGAGTCTGAAACTAAAGAAAAGACAGAAAAACTCAAGTTGTATGAAAACATGGAGCAGGAACTTGATGATGTTATCATGCAATCTGCAGAAAGTATGAGAATTTYAATTACTAAACAAATTTTAAGCACTTAGATTCATTAAATAAATATTGGTATTGCATTGRAGTTGAGAGTGAAGTTGATGCAGAAAGGTTCCTATGTTCCTATGGATACGGTGCTAATGTTCCAAGCACAGCAAAAAGACGGATGCAACAAAGGTACAATACACATTTTTTCTATCTCTTATTTCCTTTTTAGTGAATAACTTTGTCCAAAATTCAAAATTATATATTGTATTTATTTTGTTTTCCCTCAAAAGTGTCCATCTTGCAAGGAGAGTACTTCAGTTAGAAAGAGCCAACACTTCACTAAGAAATGAGATGGAAAGAGAGAAAGCAAAACGAGACAAACTTGAAGAAGAGGTTAGTATCATGTCTATATCAGTTTGCATTCTTGACATAAAAAAGTAGTAGTAGTTGATTGATGTACCATCCAYCACATTATTTATTTGTAAAATTATTTAGAGTACAAACACTTATAAAAACTGTGCAACATAAATACCACTAAATACTGCTAAATTATGCTTAGCCTAATTCTATTGTTTTCTATTGTTAATTAACACTATTTTGTAGTAAATAGTGGAAAGTGTTGCACACATTTAATGTTTGTACTCTAGCAAACTACTTAAAATCATCTATAACTTCAAACTATAACTAGCACAAACTAAAGGAACATAAGCAAGCTTTGTTTTATTGACTGAGGCAAAAAAATATTAGCAAGTTATTATAATATTTAAGTCAATGCACTCTTTTTCTCAACACGTGTACATGTAATTGTTGTTTAGCTTACTGGTGCGACAAGTCTGTTGAATGAGGCCAAGCAGCCTTACAAGTACTTGATAGAAAGCATGCAAACACGAGATAGTGAGAACCAATCACTTAAAGAACAATTGTCTGGATTGAAGGAGGAGCTAAAGTATGGTATTGTGCAGTGAATCCTTTGACCTTCCTGCTCTTTGGAGCTTTAAATCAATGTTTAACTGATTAAACTGTTGTTTATGACTTTCAGAAAACTCAAGCAACAGAAGGAAGAGTTGATWAAGACAAAAAACTTAATGACTGCTGATTTAGAGAGGCTACTCAACCAGAGAGAGGTAGGTTTCGATCATCTTTTACTGCGCCATAAACTGCTGCATAATGATTCTATGATACACAGAACAAAGGGTTTATATTTTTTGATCTGGTTGCCAGGAAATTTCCCTTTTGAAGCAAACACTGCTTGGCTTAGAACCATCATCAAAGCAACATGATATCCATCATAGAACTCAGCAAAGAGGCAAAGCTGCTAAGATGTCAGATGTCAATATTGTCACACCCAAACCTACAGTTTTTGTAAGTACAGTCTACAATTTCACATTGTTTGTTTTGAATACCCACAATATCACTTTAAGGAAATAACAGTTTGCCAACTGCTGTTTCGCCCACATCAAGCTTTTTTCTTCTGCACCAAACTATACGTCATATATTGTTATGAATTGCTGTTTTGGTGGTGCAATCTCTACGCATAGTTCTCGTTCCACATGCTTATCAATAAAGCTAGTACAATACATGACCGTGTGATTGTAGACAAAGTCTGATCCACCAAACTGGTACAGAAAGCTGAAGCAAAAACTGGGAGACTCACAAGACGAAGTAAGTACATGTAATTACTTGCATTTGAAATAAAAAAGTTTAATTTATTTGCTAAGGATCAGCTGGTAACAAGGTTTATCATTTTAGGAATCTCTCTGAGGATTTGATTTGGTTCAAAAAATTGTAACAGCCATGGTTGGTGTGCACTGTATCACGGATTACTGAAAAAGCATTACAAACAATGCAACACAGGGATCTTTATCCTTCACTCTCAAGCAGGTAGCAAGAATTGACTACCAGGGTACATGTACAGTGTGGCTGTTGCCATGTCAACACATACCAACAACAACAACTTGTAACTATAGCAACAGCAGARTGATATACAATAACAACCAAGAGATTGGGTACACATTTATTATGAAATAAGAGAAGTGTTACAAAAATGTTTTCTATAACTGAGAAACTACTTTWTACACAAATTTATGCTTATAATCATGTTTTCTTAAACTTACAATAAGGAGCCAAGTTAATGTAAATAGAGCTATACATTTCTTGCATGTGATGTCTTTATCTGGGACACAAAACAAGATTTTTCTCTGCTGAGATCAAGAGTCTTGTCTTGTCCCCCAGGTGAKGCTATATTCCTATGAAATTTGCAGGTCTATTTTCTCAAATGTAAAATATTTCAGATAAAATTAATGTAGATAAATCATTCACATTACTTCATTGACATACGTTGTAAATACAATTAATTCACTTTTCTATGCATCACTGACACTGTTATTATTATCAATAATACTCTAGTACTTTTTATTAATAGTATTAAGGTACTTGTTTTATTATTCTATACTGAAAATGGCAGCCTAGTTATAATCCTTACTATATTGTAAAACTAGCATTTTCATCCTGTGACTAGCTACAACGAGTTTTAAGTCAACATTGTCCATTTATTATCCATACTCCTGAAATAGGAAATTATAAAAATATATCAGTTTACAAAGAGTGTTGTTGTAAAATASGTCATTATTAAACAATATTAATACCTATTAGTTTAACAAGCTTTGAGGACTTCTCGTAGTTGATCATTCTCCGCAGCTTCAAGGTACGTCTGTCCATCRGGGGTTTTATCTTTTGGATTTGCACCCTAGTGGATGTGAATATCAWACAATTARCCTCTGGAGTGAACTCCATGAATTTTTTTTTAAACATACCTTAGATAAAAGAAACTTTACACTTTCAGGGTGGTTRTCCCATATGGCATTGAGAAGAGGAGTAATTCCATGTCTATCTTTACCCTGACACATGAAATCATATACACTTTTTATGAACAAATTTKCATTCAATTACTATTTGGTTTTTGTGGTACAAACAMATGCCACAAGACCAACATACAATGGGCACAATATTTTTATTCTCATGATATAGTCTTTGTAGAGTACTACACTGATATTTCTAAGATTGTTAGATATTATACATGTATGCCCGATATATACCTACATTAATATTTGCACCCTTTGATAACAAGACTTCAATGACGTCAGTCTGTCCTGTATCCGCAGCAAAGTGTAATGCAGTCCTTCCCATGCCAAGGTCTTTGTTAACATCTAAACCCTTCCAAATAAGAATACTGCTTGTTAAACTTGAAAGAAATGTTTATTTTGTTCAGGCATTGACTATTTATCAGCTTGTTTTTAACCTGTCTTCCATTGACAATTCAACATYCAACCCTGGTTTTCAGTCCATTCAAACATCATGTTAATTTATAGCAGGTCTATCCGGAGAGTGAGTTTAGTTGATTCTTAATAATTGAATATAATGCAGCCTAATAAATTATTGAATGTTACTTGTCCTGTTTTAACTTGTTTGTGGGCATTTCTATAGCATCAGCTAACATTGTTTTGTAAATGTTGAATTATGTGTATTATATAAATCGTGAAGCTTTTATTGTCTCAACAAAAAAACGAAGAAAGTGATTTTTTTTAGTTTTTTTCTCATCCATCACGCATTTCTCGAAACTGAAAATGTAAAACCATCATGTTATTTGTAAGACGATAATTGCATAATTTAAACCTTTTTTGTATTAGCACTTAAATTATAAACAGAAGGCTACTTTATTTGTAATCGTAGACTCTGCAATGAATTAAGATAAATAGTATGGTTTAAAGGATCAAATATCAACTATTTTTGCTYAACTGCTATGAATTAATCGCTCCATCTGTTTTATGATGAACGGGAGAGCAAGTCAGATCGACTGCAGGCATCTTAATAACTTAAATYTATACCTAGTTGCACTACCTTCACAATATTCAAAAGAGACAGATCTTGAKCCTTAATTTATCATTCTAATGTTAGCAATAACATTAACTTAATGCAAAACTTGTACACCATATGAGGGTAATACCTTGCTCAAAATCTCGTTCACTTGGTCGATATCTCCATTTTGCGAAGCCCACTTCATTTGGTTTATCAATTCTTGCTCAGACATTTTTAAAAGACTTCTTTTTTGTGCAGTAAAGTTATATGTTATTTGAGAGCTCGAAACGAATACTGACACTGCCCAGAACGGTCAGCGGTATACCCGACCCAGGTCTACACGCTGTATTCCAGCACAGGAAACCRGCAATTTRATTTTAATGTTTTTTTCACRACTGGTTGAGWTGGTGCCCTTRACCGTTTGTAAACATTAATTATTATGGGAGTGAGAAGTAGTATCTACTTAGGATCCAGAAGTAGCAAGGAAGTTTAGGTTGCATATTTTTTTAGAGTTTCTTTTTTTCAGAATCTCATTAGTCCCCTCTTCGTCCTTCCCCACTTTTTACTGAACCCTACGGCCCTTATACCATTTACTATCGTTCATTTGCTTTATTTTTCATTCTTCTAAGTTGTCTGTCTACAAATAATGTAATAAGGGAGGGGAGGGTAATCTACACAAGAGGATAAGCTGTTCCTACGTAGTTCCCCAAGGCATAAGTCTGTATGATGATAGTTTGTCCACCAATGGAACATTGACAGCGCTTGTCTGGTTTTAGCTTAAAGCAGGCTGTGTACAGAGCCAGCTCAAACTCGGGACTGGTACCGAGGAAGAATCCTGTGATTGGTTTAAGTTTTTTATGCCAGGACATCTGAAGTTTTATCGAAGTCGGCTGAGAATTGAAAAGGACATGTGTAAGGACATGCTTCCTCCTCCTCTATGTACAATATGCAATACGAACATGCTTGAGTTGTCCGTAATATAGAGGTCTCTTTATTATGGAGGTGTTTGTACTGTGAAGGTGTTCGTATTGTGGAGGTGTTCGTACTGCGGAGGTGTTCGTACTGTGAAGGTGTTCGTATTGTGAAGGTGTTCATACTGTGGAGGTGTTCGTACCGTGAAGGTGTTCGTACTGTGAAGGTGTTCGTACTGTGAAGGTGTTCGTACTGTGGAGGTGTTAGCTTACCTCGCTATAAAGCTTTGCGTTATAGTACCCATAATAGTTCGCCAAGTTGTTTTTTTTCTCTTCCAAGTAAAACTGCAGCCAGTTATGGAAACCGCTCACTTGAGTGACACCATCAGATTTCGTCTGTAATTCTCCGAGAAACACATGCTCGAACCCCGAAGAGTCCCGATATGCTTTGCGACGATAGAAGTACAGCCACATCTTTTGAAGTTCGAATTTAAAAGAGGACTGAAATGAATACAAATGGCTTAGCATCATTATCATCATCATCACTANTTGATTGAATGATTATCTGATTGATCGAATGATTGATTGATCGATGGATTGAATGATTGTCTGATTGATCGATGGATTGAATGAATGATTGATTGATCGATGGAATGAATGAAGGATTGAATGATTGGTTGATGGATTAAATGATTGATTGATTGGTGATCGACAAATAGATTGATCGCTTTTTTTATTGATCAATCTCATTTGTTGTCATGTGAATGACTGGAGTTAAGTGATTGTTGCCAATCAAACCTTTAAATGCTCTCCATGTTCGAGTGTTCAGTCTTGATTCATCAACGCGAGTAAAGAGTTTGCCATTCGACACGTCGTTCTTGTTCGCGTACGATGCAGTCGACTGTATATTGATATCGAAATCGATTCCATGGATAAGGCTGTTGGTATCGGCATTCCACAAATCTTGGCAAATCCTTCCAATGTCATCCGATCCGAGGGTTGAACTGAAATTACAAATTGATAAATAATTTAATAGATCATGAATAATTTATTAATTTAGAAAGTGGGCACTTTGATTGGTCAATATGCGCGCTTCATGAGAATAAGACCCTCCCTATGGCATCATGGGACGTTTCATCCCTGAAACTGCCAAAAACTATGAAAATTTCTCCTTTTGTAGGAATCTTCACATTGTCTGGTATTAAAACAGATTACGTATCAATGATTTCAACGTGGTTACCAAGAGAAGGTTTTGATATGACGTCATAGTGTACTGATAAGTCTTTTCTGGTTATAATTTACTAAAGACGTATTATTAAACTCATTAATATTCATAAGGCAAAACACAATAGAAATCATAGCCCATGAAGAGAGTTGTATATTACATACAGATCGCCCGCTCATATTGTATATATTACATAAAACGTACTTGGGATGAGTTAGCAGATCTAGCTTGGACAGACAAACTCACACAGACAGGGACTTAATTCATTGTTGAGAGATATACCTTTTGCAGCTGATTTACAGGCATCAGTCGCAATCTATACAAATAAAATAACAATACAATTATTAACATCACTTTACCTGAAACATCCCAGAACAACGAGTGTTAGAGCACGAAACAAGACCAGTCCAACCATGATGCTATCTTGAGTCATCGAGTCAGAATAATCAAGTATTTTAATCGCTTGTTGTCTAAATACTTATCGAGTCAAGTTGACTCATAGTGTCAATGTCGTTCTTGTGTGAATTACTTAGCYGGGTATTGTGTGTTCAGCGTGCACTTCTCACAGTACTGTCACCGCTGAATCAATACWTATAACTGGTACAACACGTCATAAAGTATTAATGTAAGGTCTCAACAGGGACTTCTGAGCTAATCGCTCTGAAATATAATATACTATTTCACAGTCCCAGTGAAAACCACTTTATAAAACAAAGCTATTTTGGTTTCTGGCAGGGGTGATCGCTTTGTTTGGGTAGATTTAGTGGCGCTAACCTATGGGGCTATTTCATCACAAAATATTGGATTTAGTTTCAAGGGTCAAATGTGGCAGTTCCTCTGCCGCCTTATAGTAGTGATAGTAGCATCCTCCGAAGGCATCTCTCTCATACTCTCTCTCTCTCTCATTCTCTCTTTCTCTCATTCTCTCTCTCTCTCTCTCTTTCTATCTCCCTCTGGAAAAATGGGAACAAATATGTCTCGCCAAAGGAAGCCCAACCGCCCGTACATTAAAAGAAAAGGAGTTTACATTGAGTTGGCTACGGAGGAGGCTATAGTGAGAGCATGTCATTTGTTTTCTTCTTCAGCTGTATTTGCTCATTGAAAAACAATGAGTACTTTAACGGTTCTTATTTATTTAAAGTGAAGGCAATTATTACATGATTATTATACATCCATATTTTACAACAAGTTCAAGAGTCGTTGTCATAGTTTAACTGAAAAGAGGTAAAGATAGGCGCCAACTCAAGCCGAAGCCGAAATGGTGGATGGGATACTACAGTTTTAAGTATCATTGTCTTGTTCAAAGGACTGAGTTTCACCCGTTGTTTACCGTAAAGACCGTCATCAATTATTAACCGGATGTACACAGGCAATCAAAGGAGGAAGTGTGACGTCATGGCGGCCATGTTGTTCGTCTCATTGGTGACCGCTGGTGTTATGTCTTCGATTCGCATAAGCATAGTGATTGATGAGCAGGAATTGTCAACAGACAAGACACAAAAAAGTAGAATATGTAGCACACCATTAAATAAATTAAATATTCGCCATACAGTGTTCTTTAGGTCCGCTGAAACTTTGTACGCTGGCTCATGAGACGCTCATTGTCACATGACTTGATCTTCCGTCAAAGACATCGTCATCGCTTATGTCCACCGAGTAACTGAGGTTACTTTCTGTCGTCGAAATTGATGTAAAGGTTTTTCTGTTGGGACGCTYTTATGAATTAAATATACGAAAGTTAACATGGAGCATATGACCTTCCAACAAAGAAGAACGTCAGGGGTAGGGCAAGCACGAAAAATGTCTTGCTCCTGTCGATATTGTGGGGCCTTCTGTAGGTAGCGTCCCGCTGAGGTGGGAGATTGTCAAGGGTGGGGTGAGTATTAATTGTWTAATGTACTAACAAAGAATTGATGGCTTACTTTTAATCTTCTGACTATCTCGTCGATGTCCTTGGGCCACGTGTAGGTAACGCCCATCCAAGGTGGAAGACCATTAGGMGGACGACCATTATTCATCCAAAGACAGATGATCTTTGAAGCACTTTTATTCTTGGTGTAAATATTACTGATGATCTGAATCTGATTGTCGATGATTTGAATGAGATTTTGTTTGCATCAGACTATCACGCATTGACTATTGGAGTTTATAACGATAATTACCTCAAACCATACTCTACTTTCTTCTGTTTTAGARCGATTATCACCAACTGCTGCCTGTCCTCTTTGACAGATCTCTACGTATCTTGGTGAGCAAACAACGATGACTTTAGACGAGCTTGCTATGTGAGTTTGCGCCCATCTAGCTGGTCCTTCGTCTACTTGGTCGTTCAGGTACATTTTATCCATCATAACAACATAACCCATGTCGAATAAAGGTTTAACAACATTAGCCATAATGTACTCGATAAACTGTTCGTTTTCGTTGTAGTACGATAGATAGACTTGAGATTCTTCTTCGACAATTTGCGCTGCAAAAATTTACAATAACGGTACATGAATTGAGGTGTATGTATTCAGTACGAATCAAGAGGCCCTGAAGGGGGATTACATACACCCTTCAGGGAACTCTGGTCAGTCACTTCGCTTAGTTGTKGTCGAAATTGCTGTTTTTGTGGTGTGTTTCTGATATTTTTAATTATCTTGCCTTCGTATCAATTAAGGCTTAGGGACATTACGGAACATTAAGGGAACACTAGGTACATAAAGGGACATGAGAGAACATTAGAAACGTCAAGGGGACAATGAGGGAACACGAGAGACAAAAGGACCAGACATTAAGGGAACATAAGGGACTTTTAGAAAACTTGAGGAACATCGAGTGACCTTTGGGGAACATGAAGGGAACGCGAGGTACATAAGGAACATGAATGATCGTTTTGTGTACTTACAGATMGATCTTTTGTGGACGAATGACGATGGAAGACGTCCATAGAGTTTCCATGCCACAGCAACAGCAATAAAGAACGCGATACCGACACATGTACCGACAATTATGGCGGCCATTAACGACGAGGTGATATCTGAATAAAATGGACAGACAGACAAAGTCTTGTGACGAAAACAAGTAAAAAACAGAGTGAGTAGCTTTGTGTTTATTATTATTTCCCCTCCACCACCACCGATATTTATTATTTTTAAATATTAATAACATATTTTTGAGCAAAAATTTATATGATGTCATTGTTGACGCCAAGAATATGGATAAATGACGTCATTTACCTTGTTCTAGTTTTGGTGGGTATGAAAATGGAACCATTGGAAACGGTTGACCTGTGCACAAATAAATCGTATTTTTAAGTTCCTGGTAGTGAATATCGCTACCCAGTATAAATCCTTATCCAGCTTAAGGAGTGGATAACCTTATCCTTCCGTATAACCGTCCCCAGATAAATATTAAGCCGGGTGAGCTATTTATGGCATGATGGGAAGGCAAGTWGGAATGAAACTGACCATTATGATTTATTGTACGACGTTATCAAAACAAAAGTTTCGTTTTCCAAAAAAAAATCGATTGTTCTTGTGTTCTACTCACGTGGGGGGCTTCCATACTGTGCAAAATTGGCCCCTGTGTTGTTGCGCTTGAAAGGATACGTGAAAACCTTTAGAAATGAAAGGAACACTTGATCATCATAAGATATCGAACGTCAATCGAARAATCGATCGCATCACTTACATTAAACTGAATGCCCTCAGGATATTTATATGTGTATGAATTCGAAGAAAGGTTGATCGCCAAGAATGTTTGATCCTAGTTGAATGAAATAGAGGAAACTTTTAGAAAAGTTGATCGCTAATATCTCAAAATCGAAAATCGAATGAATTAAATTGGTCCTTATCATTATCGTTAATACAGACGACACTAATTTGTCCATGCAATTATTATCTTGCTATGACGTCATCATCTTGATTTGAAGTTATGTCATCATTACGTCATCATCATCATAAGTTTTTTATGACTTCAACATGGTTACCTTGGGAACTAAAGCAAAATGACAAGGCGGTATTTTCGACGTTTTCACTTCCCCTATTATCAGCAATACAGCATAGTAAGTCCATATCTTGGARTTATCTGTGACTGGAACAAAAACAAAATATTGTTCATCAGTTTGTCGTCGGTTAGTCATCGGAAAGTCGTCGGTTACTCTTCGGAAAGTTGTCGTTAACTCATCGGAGGGTAGTCGGTAACAACAACTTGCTAACGATATCAGTCTGCAACTCGTCAGAGTTGAGTGATTGAACACTAGACATCAATAGATGTTTTTTATAAACAATTGTCGAGATTTATGGTATGACCTGGACTTACTGTTTAGTGGTGTCCAGGTAATGTTAACATAATCATAGGTTTGGTTACCAGTCCTCTGTCGGTAAAAGTGAATACGAATACCCTRRGGGGAAGCACTGAAGGTATTTGTAGCATAGGAGTCTTTAAGCAGATCATTACAAGCTGATAGAGAAACACAGGGTTTATCAGTACTTAGATTTTATCATCATCATCATCAACCATCATCATCATTATTGTACATCTATTTAAAAATAACAAAATGTTCAACATTTAAAGTGCGTCCATCATTAGCAAATGTTACCTATCTTGTTGGTGTTGWTTCCTGGAAGTCTGTCGAATAGAACGCCTCCTTTATTGTCATGTGCACCACATTTTTTGCTAATATTTCTGAAATCTYTGGTGGAAAGTAACTAAATGTTCAATGGATATTAATAACATTCATTTCATATCATATATTATATATGATAATGAGGGAATTGTAGTTTTATCCTCTAAAAATATTTCTAACAGAAACATCAACAGTAATAATAATAAAATAATAATTTAATGATATATATTGCGCTTTATGGATATGGATGGATGAACAAATAAATGAATGAATGAAGAAATGGGAGGATGAAGAAACGAATGAAAAAAAGCATTGATGACTAATGAAACTAGCTCACCTGCTCCCTGAGACTCAAGACAGTTTTCGATACAGTTWGATAAGTTCTGAAAGTTCAAGATTATAATTTAACACAACGACCAACGCATCCGTCAATTTTATTGAATAGGGTTTTACGATTCATAGATTATTGATTAAACTACTAACCCCAAGCAATACAGACTAATAACACATCGCTCAGATATGGCATTTCATAT